TGAGAACTTCTGTTCTGTACTGTTAGACATTGCATATTCAGAAAAAAAAACTGAAATCTACTGGTAGCAATTGACACGATTCCTTACTTCAATTTAGCATAAAATCACTTTATCACTCGATGATATCAGCGACTAAATTTAATAAAACCATTTATAGATTATTATAGGAAATATATATGTAAGTATAACTGTTTAAATTAGGAAGAAATGCTAAATCTATAAAAAACTTGTCATACTAAACGAATGTTGTTCTATCATCGTAAAATATCGGGTATTCTAGTCTCAAGTGTAAATTAGCGCCTCATAAATTTAAGAACAACAAATATAATAATGAATATATTAGGAATTGAGAAATCGTTACAGAATTAGCTATTATTAGACTCAAAGTTTTAAGGGTAATACTAGAGCAATTGAATGTCGTAAATCGATGATGAAGAACCGATGACCGCTGGGGTAAACGTGTTCTAGAGTGGACACCATGTCTAGGCAAACATAGTGTATGGCGCCCTCCAGCTAGATGGACTGACGTCATCCACAGGGTGGCTGGCAGTGGTTGGATGAGAAGGGCTGAACATCGAGCTCAGTGGCGTGCAATTGGAGAGGCCTATGTCCAGCAGTGGACGACAACAGGCTGATGATGAATGTCGTAAATCTGTCTGTGGTAAGTTTTAATTACAACCAAAGGCTTCACAGTCAATTACACAAAAGTCCTTTGACAAGGAAATCATCAAATATCGTCATACGAACAAAATCGCAATATGGAGGTCGTTTCTGCGCCCACGCAGCGCTTCGCGACCTAATTTATGGTCAAAAATACAGATTATACATGCAAAAACTATTGAGGAAATAGTTCGTTTTATGCTTCCGTTTTATATTCATAAAAGGCAAAAGCAAATCTAAAATTGGGAATTTAATTAAATAACAATAAAAATACCGTTAATTAGCGAAATGTCGTTCAGTTTTTTTTGATGCTGACAGTTTAATAAACGGGTTTTTGCCTAAAAGCCTAAGAGAGGGATCTGAGAAACTATACGCTCTTTCTTATCCTCGGATTAATTTTCAGACCGCGTCCCGTCCAAATCACAGATCTTTTTTCACGTGAATTTTTCACCTAGACTTTTGTTTTTTTTGTAAATATGATACATTGCAGTATTGTGACGTTAATTTGCATGAATTTTATGTCTCTATGTAGACTGACTCTGACTTAAATGAATCTGTCAGTAAAAATATCGCATTTTTATTTTTTTACTACATATTATATACAACCCGTACTATAAATTCGTTATAAAAAATGAATAGTATATTACTGCCTCACCTAATTCTCAATTTATTTAAATCAATTTAAGTTAATAAAAGAATTTTCAGTTGCATTCTGCTGTTTTACGCCAACTTGTGTAGAATTAACTTAAATTAAAAAACTATCTCACATGGAGAGATGACATGACCGCTATGCAGATAGCGGTGCAGATGAGCGATATAGCACTATTTGTCACAAAAAAGTATTAAATTGTTGAAAATAAAAGCGTACGAACATTAATCTCGGTGATTTATTGTACTTAAGATAAAAATTGTGTTAATTAATTAATTATTTACATGTAAATATGTATTTTTATTATTATTTTGCAGCTAATTTCTTAATATATGAATATAATATCAGTATTTGAATTGATCTTATCTGATACTGGACTTTATTATATTTTTTATTTTTACTTATTCCTTTATATCATAATGTAATTATTTAGTAATACATAATATATACAACTTACATTTACGTAACAATTCATTAGTGTAAGTACTAATTTCCTCCATAGGAATGCATAATTTGTAATGAGCAAATATAATGACTGACCGACAGACTTTATAGTTTTTAGTCAGTCTCTTACATCAAGGAATGGACCCATCTGTGGTCGCTTGAGGGATATATACGACGAACACGATGCTCTGTACGCATAGGACTGGGCTTGGGCGAAGAGCTGCCCTAGCACGCCATTCGCAGAACCACGCTTATGAGGGCCGGAAACCGTCGTGCGATTCGTGATCGTCTCCTACGGTAGCTGGGATATGAGGGGTATGCGCTTATTATATGGAATGTATTCATGCTCGTCTACATGCCTTGCGTTGCCCTTCTCGAATTATACTTAAACCAAAAAAACATGTCCATGATTTTCAGTCGGGGTTGTCGGACAAGCGTAATGAGGCACCGAAGGTGAAGGAACGGGGAGTTTTTAGTCAGTAAGAGTCTGACAATCCCGCCCGACTCTGGATGGGATGTCATTAGATGATTTCTCGTCTCAAAAAAAAAAAAATACATCTACATGACATCATAATGTAAAATGATATAGATTAATGCTAATAAGAATAAAATAAATTAGGTACAAGTAATATTAAAAATTAGTCAAAGTGTTACAAGTTTTTTATCTTTAAATTGGCAGAAACAAATTGCATTTGGCCTATAAGTTCATTAATAGCTCACCAGGCGCCATATGATTGAAATTAATAGTAACGCTATGGTCAACGACACTATAAATAGATAAACTTAGACCTTAGATGCTGGTTTGCCTATGGATAAGATTACTAAAGAAATTAATCAAGAGGAAAAAGAATAAAAATAATGTGATTTACCGTTTTTCTCATTATTTTGTTTCAGACTTGTGCTGGTGTTAATCGCCAGCAGGATATCTTTAGATTTTGTTAGACTTTGTCATTAATAATTGAAAAAATAAAATAAATAATGGAATCTCGCATGGAATAAAAAACCTACTTCGAAAATTAAATTGGTATAAAACCTCAGTTTAGACTTTTTGTCTATTTTTTATGTAAAGGTAAAGGTAGGATAAGAAGAGACATATTGACCCCTCTGGTGCTGCAGGTATCCATGGGCGGCGCCGATCACTTTCCATCAGATGATAAGTCTGCTTGTTTGCCTCCTTAAAAATTATGAATTACTTTGTCAGGTAATTGTATGTGTAAATCTAACAAATACATAGTTACTTAAAAAAAATCAAAACGTACTATTATAACGTATAAAAATTACATCTACGCATAAAAGCATGAAATTCTTAATCGACAAAATTACAATCAAATACAAAAATCGAGATCATCGACTGTATTACAGATGATAAAGACTTGTAACTACTGAACTTCATTTCTAATGGAAATAAATATCACTTTCTGTATATCAATTCTTACATTCCTTTTGATTGACTCCTTTATTCAGAAAAGGTCTCTTCTGGTACCAATGCAAGCTTCTTCTCCTCTCTTTTCTTTCATTTCTGATGACCACATACCACGCAGCAATAAAAATTTTGGTCCCTCATTAACCTGGCAAGAAAATAGGACGACAGAAGGCAAAAAATCTCCGAATATAACGGATTGCGGTCCAGACGCGGTCAGTTGGTTTTTCTTGACGCCTTTATTACATGGTGATTGCCTAGTTTCATTTTACGAGTACAAACAAAGTTTATTGTCTTGTTTGAGGAATCACTTTTATAGTAATAGTTCTGGTAGCTACCGTTAAATGGTTGGAACTTTCACCGAGCACTTTGTTTGTTCTAACCAGTTTTTACTGTAGTGTTTTTTCTATATTTTTGTGAGAGTAAAATCATTAAACGGCTTCTCTTACCCAGGGTGATGCGAGAGGGAGTTTCAGACGCCACGTTCCTTCTCCTGCTTTAGGGGGTGCCCCATTATGCTTTTCCTGCAACCTCGGTTGGGTCTTTAGTGTAGCTAAACTACAAATGGTAATGTAAATAAAAGGGTTTTTTTGTGGGAACAAGGCGATAATCAATCATAGGGACACAAATAGAATGCAGTAAGTTCATCTGTACATCTGAACATCTGTAGAGATTAAGAAGTTTGTTTGGGGTATGGCGATAATCGAGCATAGAGACAAATGCAAATGGCGCCATCGATGGAGACCTGTAACACAAGAGGATTTAAAAGTGCGTAATCGGCCTTTTGACCGTTAGGTATTTGTAGATATGAAAGAATTAGGCCAACTCTTTGCTCACGCGGCGAAATAAAAGCGTGGTTTCACGCCAATTTTATGTAACAACGCGGTATTGACCCGGTCAAGATAGCTCATGCGCACAGAACAAAAGTAAAAAATACTATACTTATTTTTTTATTATCAAGATACCTCGATGTCCAATAATATTATTTACTCTCACGTAATCTTTTCGTTCAAATAACCCATAAAAGATCACATAAACATCATGTTGTTATGAACAATACAAGACATTCTGAAAGATATGTGAAAGCCCAGGCTGTGCGCTAAAATATATGGAAGATAGCATTTTAAAGTATCTATGAATAACAATGTAGGCTAAAAATTAAAGATTGGTCGAAAGCCATGACTACAAACATAATCTTACAAAAATATTACACTTTCATAGTTTATTATAAGAAGATAAACCAGATTCTTGTACTTAATTACAACGATATGAAACGAGATCAAGTTCATTAACTATTACTTAACAATCAAGATCAAGGTTGAGCAGTATAAGAGTAATCATTCATTTACGATTGATCATTTCGTAACTTTTTAAAGAGAGTTCATTTTTAAATGCCTATTGCGTAATATGATAAACGGTGACCAACCCAAGACCTTGGGTATGGAATTACAAATGCAATACAGTAACTGTAATCTCTACATCTGTACATTTGTAAAGATGATAAAGTAAAGTGTACACTAAACTTAAAAATTGGTTAAGTAAATAAGTGACACAAACATACAAGTAGTATTTTAGAAGCTTAATAAAGATAAATTGACCTAAATGATAACTATGAGATGATTATACTTGATGGAAGGAAAAAATAGGCATAGGTATTAACTGATGGTAATTAAAACCCCTATGCCCCAGGAAATTTCTTTGACTAAGAAGAATAGGTTCTTCTGATACATATCACTTCCTATCATCATTTGAATAAAGAATTTCCGGTCCATAAATACAGTATTGTTTACAATTTTAACGATTGGCTTGCTTCCGTGGGATTTTACCGAATAAAACCTCAATGTCTCGAGTCTCGAGGCGTGGGGCACGACCTCCAGGGCGACCTATAAAGCTGCTCTCGCAAAAAAATAAAACACATTTAACGGAATAGACTATAAACAATAAAACATGGCGTATATTCGCGCATTGTTTTTTGCCATCGCACTCGCGGGATGCAGCCCAACCCTAGCCGAAGGTAGTAATTTATCGATACTCTATAATCTGCTTTGTGGGGTCACGATCAGTCGATAAAACTTGCAGTTTCGATACCGTTAGGTAATTGGCGGTAATTGTCGTTTGCGTTGTAGGTAATTGGGTGGTCTACTTACGTGACATTGGATTAGGGTCCGATGAGTCACCAGAACTTTGAATCTTACTAAAAAAGTAACTTTAATTTCGCTTCTTCAACATTTTAAGATGATTCGTCGTTACTTCATAAGTTCTAAAGGGTCTATTCTTCGGGAGTTTCTCGTGTTTTATCCTTATTATGCGACTAACAGATTTCCTTAACGTTTTTGTAAGATTTGAAAGTAACAGTATTTACTTGTTTTATTGTAGCTGACACACTTCCTGTGGGAGGTTCTGCCATAAATAAAGGGCGTGTCTCGTACGTGTTGTACTAGTATGTTGTAGTAGTTATCGGTTCCAATCGTGCAAGACAGGCAAGCCTCAATATCATCCAAGTCTTCTTATATTTTCAAAAACAATTTTTGCCGATTTCATTTTAAATGTTCTTTTAATTTTCAGATACTGCCAACGTGCAATCCGACAGTTTAGTGCGGGAACCTCGCACTTTACATAAAAAGAAATTATGTAAAAAATATGGAATTTGCGAAGGTTTTGGAGGCTATCAAGGCGGCTACCAAGGATATCATGGTTACCAAGGCTATCAAGGATACCCTGGTTACCCTGGGCCATACCAGCCACCGATAAATATTGCCATCAGTCAATCCCAGTCTTCAGCTAATGAGGGTGGCGGCGGACATGCAAATGGATATTATCCCAACAACTACCAACAAAATGGATATCCGAACCATGGCTACAACCAAGGCTATAACAACGGCTATTACAACAACGGCTATGAAGGCCATGGATACAACGGCTACAGACCAGGCTACAGCAATGGAAATGGAGGCTACAATGCTCAGTTCAATGGAAACTATTACTCCGGCGCTCCTCGAGGAGGAGGCTATGGCTTCCAAGGTTTTGGATTCAGAGGAGACGGTTACGATGGTGAAGATTATGATGATCAGGACAGCTTTGGATTCGCTCGGTCCAGTGCTAGTGCTACTGCTGTAGCTGAGAGTAAAACCCAATAATTTGTAGCTGAAGTTTATAATGTATTTAGAAAAATAGGTTAGGGCTTAACTAGAGTTATAATGTTTTTTGTATTTTAGATTTTTCTTTCCCTCGTTTCCCTTATGTTTTTGCTCTCTGTGTGAAGTAAGTGAAACAATATTTATGTTTAGCGAGTGAGAAACTGTGATAAACCGTATTACGAATAAGGATACTTAGTTAAAAAGATGTGATCTTCCACGAAATAAAATTTGTAAATATGATTTAAAATTTGAGCAGAATAAACGAAACCAATAAATAATAATTTTATGATTTTACCAAAAGCTTTTTCCTTTTTTTTTTATTAAAATCCTCTATGTATAAATGTGACGACTGCTTTATGATAATCGATATTAGATCTTATTCCATATAAAGGCTTTTATTGATAAATGGTTCACATCCTCTATAAAATTAGGAATGTTTTATGATAATGTATAATCATTTTTAGATCATTTGCCTGTTTCACCAGGTCTCTGACCTAAGTCTTAAATACCTAACAATTTCTTGAAGGATGCAGCACACTAAATTGTTGATTTATGGTCATCATTAAGTTTTATTGCTGCTGAGATCACATCAATGCATTTTGCATGTAATAGATCTGTAACTCATAGCATCAAAATTTTAATGAGCACGTAAAGAATAACGAGGTTGCTAATATACATCTAATTAAAGAAAACTGAAACTGGTCAAACTGATAATTATGTATGCTTCTTCTAGAATACTTGATCTGGTTACAAATCTACTTCTCTACAAATAAAAGTTACCTGGATATAAAAAATAAGAGATATAAAGAAAGCCAACCTAAATGAAACAATTGCATCACTGTAATATGTTTCTGTTACACTTAGTTTTAGTTTACTGATAGTCTTTACATGCAAGCGTGTTATTAACTGTAATTTTTCTTAATACGCTTAATCCTAGACTTAGTAAAAAAAAACAAATTTTCAATTTGTCTTAATGGAAATGATCTTATAACATACCACATGACTTATTGTGTTTATTCTTCTTTACACCTGAGTAGTTATTTAATGTTTTCTCTAAATGAACCAGTTTCCTAAATGAATGTTAGAAATCTTTTCGGTACCTGCCAAAAAGAACTTCCTTCAGGAACATTATTTTATACATCTATTGGCATTATTATCTCATTTATTGATACCGGTATCACCAAATTAAAAAAAAACTTGATCAACAAACGAAATATTTTCATCGATTTCTTTAATAATTAACACAAACTGCGACATTAATGTTCCGAACCATTATGTTCACAACTTTGAAGATTTAATTAAAAATGATATAATGCTTTCCGTCGTCCTCTAGAATTAGAAAATATTTTAATTAAGGCTCTTTTTTTTGTTTATTTTTCTTAAATCAACTGACTTTATTTTATTGCTCCCAATTAATCAGTTGTCTTATCAATTTAAAGATGATACTCGCACAATTTATGGTATCGGATCACCTGTACCCATCAAAACTGTTTACCGTAACTCGTTAGATAAATTTTGTTTATGAGTGTCAATGGCTTTGGGTGTAGTGGTGACCCAGTCAGATTTGAGTGGGGGGCTCATGTGTCTAGTATATAAGCTGAGGGGAATGTTTCACAACTATCCACAACCACCTGAGGAAAGGTCTAGACGTCCTTGGAAAAGAAAAGAAAAATGGCCGCCAAATTCATCGTCCTTGCTACCATTCTTGCTGCTTCCAATGCATTGCCAGTCTGGTACAATGGTAAGTAATTGATAGTTATTATAATCGACAAAAACAATTAATTTGTTGTCAATGTCAGGTTTAGTAAACAAAATAATTATCCTAATATCATTGTGATAACAATTCTACTTGATATGAGAATCAAGTCTCAGAGAGCTCGAATGGATTACCTATGCCTCGTATCTTTCAGCAAGCATTTTAAGTTCTCTATTTTTTAAGTAATACTGTAATTTAAAAGTTAGTTTTTTACATTCATTGGAGTAAAAAAAATATAATTATTATTTACATTATATTTAGTTTTGAAAAAAATCTTCATTACTCTCTGTATTTCCAGGAATCCCAGCAGTGGTCATGAGGATTGGTCGCTCACCCAGCATCTCCTACGGCTTTGGTAGCGGCTTCAGCAGCAACATTGGTGGCATCTCCCACTCTTCTGGCATCGGTGCCTCTTTCCAGTCTGGAGAAGGTGAAGCTTACGGTGCCGGCATTGGATCTTCTAACGGTGGATATGCTCGTGGCGTAGGAATTGCCAGCGCTGGCAACAGTCACCCAGTGCAGTACCACCATGCATACCAAGCACCTCAACCCGCTTACGAATCTGCAGTTGCATCTGCCCAAAACTTCGGCGGCTACGGTAACGCCGTGTCTTCTGCTCAGTCTGTTGGCGGCAACAACTTTGGATCTGCTGTTTCATCTGCCCAGAGTGGTGGTCTGGCCCGTTTCAACAGCGCCGTCTCTTCTGCCCAGAACGTACATGGATACGGATCAGCTGTTTCTTCAGCTAACAGTGGTTATGGATCGGCTCTGTCTTCTGCTCACAACTCTGGCTTCGGATCTTCAGTGTCCTCTGCCCAGACCAGGGGACATGGTTACGGTTCAGCCGTGTCTGCTGCTGAAAACATCGGAGGATACGGCGCCAGCACTGCCCAGGTTGCCCGACAGAGCCCTGGCGGTATCCAACACAGCGGTGCCACCAGCATCAACGCTCCCGGGCTCCAGGCTGCCCACTCACACGCTATCAACTCTGGATTCTACTGAAGTGGTCTCTAGGATATAAAAAGATGTTGAGACGACACTTAAAACTTGTCTCAATATCTTTGGAAATGTTGTGATTAGCTTTAGTGAATAAAACGAATAAAGACTTATTTTCAAATTGTATTTATTGATGAAAAACATCCTTAACTTAAATATTTTTAATTCTTAAGTTAATTAATACGTCACTTATAATAATAGTCGAATCTTTGTTAGAACAGTTTCAAATGATGACTACTTCAAAAGCTTCTATAACCCCCTTTGTTGTCAACATTGTTCTTCGCTTTGTTATCAAAAGGTGACACAACTTTATCAGAATTTGCAGTTATTTTTGCCATACCATTAAAACTATCAGTGCTTTTTTCTCTATTGTCAAACGTGACCTTGTTTACACTGCCGTAGATGTGGCCATTATCGTTAATTGCTGTCGCAGTATTAACTTGGCCGTTGCCACCGAAGCGGGGGTTGTAGAAGCTTTCAACATTTCGAACCCAATCTTTAAGGTCGAAGTTATTGTAACCAAAACCTTCAGGACCTATAGGAAATGCGAATAATGGGACAAATGGTCCACTAGACGCTGATGCGAAGCTTCTACCTGCACCTGCTACAGCTTTGCCAGGTACAGCGATACTGAAGCTCGAATGTGCACCTTGCCCATTAGGACCATTGCTATATGGACGGTTATGTTCCTCAGGATGCAATTGTGTGAAGCCAGATCTAGTTGCAAACTGTTCAGTGAAATATTTCTCTACGTTGGGATCCGAAGATGATATTGCGACTATGGCTTCCCCGTTGGGTGTTGATTCTGAAATGACAATGAGAACTTTAAGTCACCTTCTACGAGTACACAAATACATCAATAAATCGTAACAAACTAATACAGAAAAGAAATTATAAAGCACCATTTGAAAATGGCAAGATTTATAACGTTACTACTACATCACATAAATCACTAGAAAAACAACACAAAAACTAAGAAGCTTACCTTTAAAAACAACAGGAACTGCATCCACAGATAGAAAAACCGACAAAACAGAGACTAAAGCCTTTAGAACAAACATTATAGGTATCTTTCAATAGTAATTCGTAGTTAAATTCAATAAAAGAATAAGTGCCGAGATCACAATGATCCGTTTATATAGGATTCTATGGGTCGAACGATGGTTTATTATATACATAGTAAGGTGAATGAACTATCTTACTAACTCAAACGTGATTTAGAAATGGTTGGAGATTAATATCTTCTCTTGGTACTAAATCATGCCTTCGCTTTAGACAATGTTGTCGGAGATATCTTTAAAAACGCTATAAGTTCAATGGTATTTGTTGCAAGGCGGGTTCCGAACGGTTCGATGGATAACGGCTAATGCATTTCTAGTAGATTATCTGTGATCTGTGATCGAATATTATTTGAATCTGATTTTATATATGATTCTAGAACAAAAATATCGAAAACGAATCAAATATAACGTATGATGTTCCGGCAAAGATCTGAAATCTCTGAAAAAATCCTTATTAATGTAAAACAGTAATGTCCATGATAACCAAAGCCATAAACCGTCAAAGTTCTACTACCGCTTTACAAGAAAATCATAAGTCACAGTCGTTTATAGACCCGTAACAATATTTAGTGTATATACATATACACAAAGAGTGGTTTTGTTCGGGAATCGAACCCGCGACACGTTGTACGGCAGCTGGTTGCCCAGCCATTTCGTCAGCCGTGCAGTTTTTTTTTTACATAAGCCAGCTTTATTGTTCTAGGTTTCATAATACCTTACCTTTTTTTTATTACTGTGGAATTGTTAGCAAACTTTTTTTATCCTCATTATCACTCAGCCAACGACAGTCCAAATTCAAAATTGATCACAAATTTTTAAAATAGGAATAACATGTGACAGGCTTTTAGGCGAACTTTGTAAATGGTTCGAGTATACATAAATTAGGTTTTAGTGCTCAAGTCTATTAGTGTCAAAAAGAACATTATGGATTTTAAAATAAATAATATAAAGATTGGGTCATTGTCTTTTAACATTTTTAGGAAATAAATCAATGAAGTAAAACACATACATATGTGCACTGTCATGGCCACAGTAATTAAGTATTGAATTCTCATGACGCGAACTGAACGAAATAAATAAATAAATATCTGTTTAGTAATAATACATTCTAAAAGGCTTTGGCTTAATTTTTAGAAAAGTCAAAGTCAAAGTCAAAATCATTTATTTCAATTAGACCCATACAGGCACTCCTGAACGTCAAACAAAGTTTTAAAGATATTGCTAGCTATTTGCTCGTTCCAAAGTGTAGATTCCGATGGAGAAGAACGAGCAAGAAACTCCATGGTTACTCTTTTTAAATCAGTTTCACATACAGATTCCTTGAAAGAAAGAAAGAAAGGTTTAGTCTTAACTTTTACTTTTCTTCTTCAAGTCCTGATTTGATATACTATATACTGTTATCACCAAAGGAGATAAGTCAAGTCAAGTGACTTGAGTCTTCTGTGGATCGTCAAGAATTTCTGGATAAGATTTCTGATTTGGAGATTAAGGATGGGTTGGGGACATCACTAACTCGGCAAATCATTTTGTTATCCTGTATTTGCTGTTTGACGCCAGAATTCTGGAGGTCGTCGTATCCCTCTCTCTAGTCGATTCGGCCTACTATAAGTACGTGCCGTAGCATGGCTTTCCTACTCTAGAGGTCTGTCTAATTTATGAAGACCCAAGCGAACGCCAGCGTTAACGCACCTATTGTCTATCGAATTACCATGATTGAATGGTTTACAGTAGGTACTGTAAATATGTATATAAAAGAAATAATCTCAGCTGTTGTTAATTGACTTTAATATGCAATTAATACATAAGTTTAAATAAATAAGAATCTGGTAAAAATATGTATAGAACGGGTCTCAGTAATGACCAGTAAAATGAGCGGAGAAGAGGTCAAGCTACTGGTTTTTGGAGCGTCAAGCAGTCTACTGATTCTTAATTTGAAAATTAATTTCATTGTTATGTTATTTCTAATCTTTTTTTTTTATTTATTTATTTAGCTCATCAACAGTATTTATTAATTTATTTTAGGTTTTTTTACAAGAAAATAAAAAAATGCACTTATGTAGGTATTCTTAGTAAAATGTAGAACAATCCACGGAATAGAAAAAAATAATAAATGGCTGTTCTGGGTCAGGAGGAGTACATAATGTATTAAAATTTGTAAATCCAATCAAAACTTACAAGAATATACTAATTATAGATCAAATCATCGAATATTGTTTTAGTGGAATTTAATAAAAGCTTTCAATTGTTTCATTGTGTTTCCTAGCGGCAGCCTTCGGCACTACTTAAGCAAATACGGGTAGAAAGTTTCCAGTTTAGTAAACAACTTACATAGTCCCTTTCTACCTACTTCGGGCATGGTACGATAGATGTCGTTAGTTGTAGCCAATGGAGAAAGCTAGATAGTGGATAGAAATATAGATAGGGTATTAATAGAATTTAGCAATTTTTTAAATAATTATTTTATTCATAGTTAGGTTCGTTTATTAATTAAATAAATAAAATTCATTAATTAAATAAATAAAATTCATTAATTAAATAAATAAAATTCATTAATTAAATAAATAAATAAATGTAATCGTGCGAACGTAGTATTTGTTTATCTTTAATTTTTTGTGGTTTATCGGCCATTTTTTTTTTGTTACATCCTATCTTGGTGACATACATAGCATATTTCTTCTTATTACGTTTTATTACATATTTAAGTGTAGTAGCTTCGGCATAAATGGGCCGGCTAGAAAACCGGCGTGAAGCAACACTCACGTTGTGTTTCGGCGCATTATCCACATGGAGAAACACAGTTACCGGAGGCCCTGCCCTCACCCGCTATCCTCAATCCTCAAATCCCCTATCCATATAACCCTAGAAGCCGGCAACGCAATTGTAGTTACTGCTATGGTATGATGAGTGCCCATGGACGGGGCTCATTGCTAACCAACTGGTAATCAGTCTCCTATTTTGCCAAAAAATGACAAAAATGAAATAAAGATAAAATATAATAACTACTACCCATCTTCTGGTCTATATCTAGATTCTGATTACAATCTTAATTTTAAAGATACAAAGATACCTATCACTTTGGACACAGTACACAGTAGGCCAGTCTCACAAGTAAATAAAGAATCGATAACATTGTTAGCGCCGAAGAAATATAGGAGGTTAAACGCTAGCTGATAACTGTACCGCCCACCGTACGTACTGATGACGGTAACAAATGAGGCTGCCACATTCTCTAATGGATTAATAAGTAGACAAATGTATTCAACAAGATTAAGAAGAACCGTTACCTTAAAACATCATGCTACAAAAAAATCCATAGATTACATCTGAAACGGTGTAAATTTAGATTTATATGATAGCAAGTTATCGCTTGAAGTAATTACTCGAGACGTAACTACGGGTTACTTTGAAGCCAATCGCCATAAATCTCTACGAGATCCTGTTCATCTAGAAGGCTGTTTTAAAAAGATATTGATGGCGAGAGAATCGTTTTAATACGTATCTTTGGGTTTGTACCACAATATTTAAAAGAAGACAAATTTTGGTATGGTGTTTATATTGAAAGGTCGGTTTGTCACTCCTCTTAAAATAGCCTCTGAGGCAAAAATAAATGGTCAATTTATACTAAGAAAAAATAAATTAAAAAGATACAAAATTAAAATCATTACCAACGCAGAAGAGACAGATAAAAAGTGTTTTTCCAATAGCTAATTAATTAATTCTTTATGACATCTTCTTAATATTCATGATGACTCATTTTTGCTGCCATATTTAAGGCAAAACACGGTATAAATTCAACGATTACGACTGCAAGCAATTCAAAGGCTATCAAAAAGACAAGCAGCTAAGATGTGTCGCTATTTACACCATTTTAAAAGAAAACAGTAGAATCTCATTTAAAAAAAGAAATACGCTACATTTTTCGAATGAACTCATTGCTAACGCGACTTTGGTGTGGGTGGTGTGTGTCACCATAAAATTATGACTAAGTAGACACAGGTATAAAAGAAAGCATTAGGTCACAACTGTAAAATTTAATACAAATATCGTAAATTATTTATTTTGTTCGCCAAACAATTTAATGGTCGATTTTAATCAAACAAGTAGGTAGAACGATTTGTTTATCAATCAATCAAAATGTCCGTTAGCTGTGAGATCTATTAAAGGTATATTAGTTTTTTACGGTACTCGTATAATGATTATTTAGGCAGGCCGACACGGATAGTAAATTGAAAATATCAATAAAAGTAATTCTATATTTCCTTCAGAATAACATGCAAATCACAATAATGATCATATTGAAGCTCTTATAACCACCAGATTTTTTGTAGTGGAGACATGAACAATCAGAGTACTGTTACTTACTGTACAAAAGAAAAATATAAAATAATTGCTTAACACTTGAATTGCTCGCCAATGCCCTCAACGTATGATTACTACATTCATGAACTATGAACGGATAATCAAAAATACGTTTGTAAAATAATAGCAGGGAAATTATCTTTAAAAAAACAGATCTGTCGTACCGTCTCGTCTGTATTAAGAACCGTTTCTTTAGCTATAAAGTCGAAAACTTGTAATTTTACGATGAGGATATATAGTGAGAGATCGATGTTTGTCATGCATTTCTGTTCGGTCTGCAACATGAATAAGATTGGACGTGTTGTTGTTATTTATTTATTACTCGTAGCAGCAACTGGAGCAGGTAACTGTTCATTCATCTTTTGTCTTCATCAAGAATTAATAAGATACATTTAAATTTTAAATCTATACAATTTAATTACGAACTTTGAGAGATTATTAACATCTGAACGGAAATCTGATAAAAATAATTTATCGATGTTTATTATTATTATCTGTTTAAACGAATAATAGGACTCTAATTTATGTATTAAAGATTTTATTTATATTTTCAGTGGACCTTAAATCAAAGAGCGCCACCAGCAGCAAAATAGAACAAGCAAGTAAACCAAAGGAATTAACGACAGCTGCGTCATCAGCGCCTCATCATGTATCAGCTCATGCCTCCGTCAGCAACGGAATGGGTGTGGCCAGCATTGCTGGAGTAGATACCAGATATGGTAGACTGTCTTCAATTTCTGGCGTCAAATTCTACCCACCGATAGACTCTTCCATGATCAAGACTGACAATAAAGGAAATTTCATCTTCAAATCGACTGATGGAAAAATGCCAATGCCAATTACTATCACAAAGCAAGGCGACGGTGTATCAGGAACTATCAAAATCATGCCAGGATCAGTTTCAGTATCGTCTTCTGCAAATTCTGGATCTGCTTCAGCGTCGGTTGGGCCTAAGATACCAAATATCGATCCCTGGTCGTTTATGAAGCCGATGATGATGAATGATTTGTTCTTCCCTGACCCATTTCCAGCGTTTCCTAGTATAGGAGGTTCAGCTTATCATACAAGAATTTCGGAGCCTTCGTATAATAGGTTTCCTGAGCCCACGTTTCCAAGGATATCACAGTCATCTTACTCCAGGGTACATCAGCCATCTTATTCAAGTGTACATCAGCCGTATTCTTCAAGGACACCGGATCCATGGAAGGACATGTTCAAGCACACCCTGTCTCACCATGATATCATGACACCCATGTGGTATTATCCTAACTTCAGTCCCTATTTCAACTACTGGTAATGATTTTGGAATAAATTGATGAAAACCATATCATTGTGTTTCCTTTTAATTCTCATAATAATATTTATGTTTATTTGATCAATGTTTACACACACACAATAGCTATTTGTCTGAAGCTAGTTTGTTTTAAAGTGTTTATATAATTACTAATATGAAATTAATACTACTAGTATATAGTTGTTACTGAATGAGGAAAAACCCTATGTATACACTCCTATATAAATGGTCTCCACGCGAGCCCCTGTGGTAAGGCATAGGGGATTTTGTCACCTTATTTCTCCTGAACCATGGAGTGGGGCATACGGGACAAGCCGCCACAAGTGTCATGAACCCTCAGGCACACGTGTGAGACAGGACCCAAAATAGTTTTAATTCAGTAAGAGTCTGACAGCTACCTTTTCTGCTTCCAGGCCAGGCGGCCACTTAAAATTTTCCACATTGGGGATGCAAAAAGTTAAATGACCTGTTGTTTGATTACAATAATCGATTATTGAGATAATTAAATCTCGTCTAATGTGTACTAAGGTCATCTATAACCGAAGAAATTTTATTGGAATCGAAACTTTTTATAATAAAACATGCTAAATAAAAAAATTCCTAACACAAAATAGAAACTTTAACAAAAGAATACATTATCAACAATAACAATAAAAAACTTGAATAAAAATGAAGTAACATTAGATAAAATTTATGATGAAAATAAAACTGTACCGTTAGATGAAGGCAATTAATTGTTCCCATATAAGGACGTGAGACTGACTAATTTGCTAAAAAAGTTAAATCTTGTAGTCATTATAGGAGAATCAGATAAAAGCGTTTTGATATAAATGTCAATTTGAGCCACATAAATCTCATAGAACTCCTCGATATTATATAATTTTGCACACATTTTAAGTAGATGTTCCTTATTTGTTAAAAAATTCGTATCGTTGGAAAGTCAATATAAGTTTAATAAAAATAGTTCATTAATTTACATATATACAAGTTATAGTTAATATAGTTTTATACAACTTACGGTATTGTTACAGAAAAACGTATTTTTACGAAAACATAACGTTTTCACAATAAAAAGCTTAAATTAGAGGACTAATAAACACTAATTTAACAGACCATTTTCTTTTAAAAACCTTCCCTCTGTATAATAGTCTGGCATATCCAGCAATACCACATCTGGATCTTGATCAGAAGTGCCGAGATATCATATTATACTGATGACACGAGGTTCTTCAAAAAAAATGTACCAATTCGTAACTAAAAGCGACGTTATTTCCATTTTTCTGTTATAATTTCTAACAATCTATATCCCATCCATGTTTTATGTAGTACTAACTTTTGCCCGCGACTCCGTTCGCGTGGAGTAGTAACTTCCTTTTTTTTTAGATTTTCGGTATAATAAACATCCTATGTCCTTTCTCGAGTTCCAAATTATGTCTGTACCAAATTTCACAGAAATCAGTTCAGTAGATAATAAAAGTCAGGCAGACAGACAGAGTTACTTTTGCATTTCAATCTAAACTAATATTATATGAGTTTGGATTTGGATGATGACAACCATGCTATTATTAAAACAAACATTCATATCTTCGGACCAAAGCGGCGAATGACTTGAAAACCTCTGACCATTTTGACAATGACAGCATATAGTCACGTCTAGCATAAAATCAAAATAAATCGCGTTTGATCTAGATTGTAGATCCATAAACAGAACATTGCTCCTTCTGCGCTTACGCAGAAATCGTACAAAAAATGGCCACGTTTTGAATGCAACCGACTCAATAATGAGTCTATTGACTTGGCACTCTTTATTGACCCCCTACTATGTAATGATATCAGCAAATGTAGACGCCAATTATTAACCCTATTTATTCCTTTGTCACCCAATCAACATATCTTACAAATCAACAGAAATGAGTACTTTGAAAATACTTGCAATGCACTTGTAGATCTCCGGTGTAGGGAGTTTCCATGGGTGGGCCGATTGCTTACCATCAGGTGACCCGTCCGCCCGTTTGTAAACTGAACGATAGATATATAAAAAAAATCTACATACTTAGAACGAATCATATAATTTCATCGTCAACAAACGGACAAACTAAATAAAAACGACCTTAATCTAAAACCTTTAATCCTTTTTTTTAATTCGAGGATTGCAAACAGCCAAAGGAGTAGTTGAATCATCCATAGTTAGCTTTGAACCAAATATTAGCTAACAGGGTCTTATTAGACCAACTCACTAACTCATTGGATCGATTTTAGAACTACAGGTAATTGTTCCATAGGCTATAACTTCAGCAGGCCATTCATAGTAATCTTCTAAAATCTTATTGCGTGAAATTAGAACAATACAGATGGGGCCCATCAGGCCGGATAGTCGACATGAGTTGCAGGAGCAAGCACAATAATGTACCATGGAACATGGAAAGGAGAAGGGATGGTTATTAGTCAGTCAAAGTCAAAGTCAAAATCATTTATTCCAACTAAACCATAAATAGGTACTTTTGAATCGTCAAAATAGAAAATTATTCTATCAGTCTGTTCATCAGTGAAGCTAGGTGCTCATTCCAAATTGTACTAAATTGTAATTGTGTGTGAACTACTGGTTCGAATTTCAATATATATATTTTTTTGCTGAATAGATTATTTATCGAGGAAGGCTTTAGGCTATATAACATCACACTATGATCTGTTGGAACCGAGCAGCGGGTGAAACCGCGCGAGAATATTCTCGGCCCTCATCTCGGCCTTTTTTGCACGACATAGTAAAAAAAACATTTCGAGAACTGATTGATTAGGTACTAAAAAACAACCATGATTAATCATAACATTACATGGAAAGTTATAATAAAAACAAAAGCTGATTATTGCCACACCTCGACTACAAAATTAAGCTTCATCAATACCAATTTGATTAATATCAGACAGTTATAAGTTTTGTTAGGAATATATACAATTTATGACCGTTTAACGACCAGTAAATAACATTTTTGAATAACTTACTTTTAAATACAGGTTCTGTAGCAATTTACGGTTTTAAAATGAATAAATGAAAGAGAGACGCAATTAACACCCTGGTGAGTGTTGAGAGGTTGAGAGGTCAAATATGTTGATGATGTATGAATGAGGTTTGATCATGTAGGTCATTAGATATGCGAATTCAATGATACCGCCCACTGAGAAAGAAAGAAAGTATAAGTATTCTTTTTATTTAGTGTTTATGTTGCAAATAAATTACCAAGAATTTCCTTTTATACATTTAGAAATAAAAACGCTCATACATTTTACAATGTCATCATTTACTTTTAGTGCTGGAGAACCATGCTTCGGCACGAATGCAACGAGTCACTGCCTCTGACAGAAAACTGGCGGAAATATCTACAGCATTGTGTTTGTGTGAGTGAGGCCCAATTTCTGTTTCCCTCCGTCAATGCTCCCCAATCCCTGAACCTCCAAAACCCTAAAACCCAAAAGGCCAGCAACGCACTCGCTGCTCTTCTGACATCGGTAACAAGTCTGCTCGGTTGCCGTCTTACTAAGAAATGAATTAAAAAAAATTAAATTAAAAAAATACGTATATCGCGCGAAGAAATTGGACATAGCTCTAGAAAAAGCATTAATATAAAATGTACCTAAAATCAAATAAAATATAAGGTACATTTTAAAATCAAACGTTCAGAATGTATGTCACCAACTCAGATTGGTCACGAATGTGTCGAATGTGTTTGAGAATTGTGTAACAACCGTTCTCAGTATATGGAGCGCATTCATTAACATAAGAACAGCGAATAGCGGTTTATTATGTGATAGCTCTTAACTGAATTTAAATCGACAGATTCTAGATAAAACTGCATAATTTAAAATATTTTATTTTATCTACTTCTGCTACGAAAACTTTCATCGTCAGGCTATAAGTGTATGATCAACACGCAGATCATCTTATAGTCGTATCGATGATTTCAATCTTATAATCAGAAATTATAGATCGAAGATTCCTCATGATGTTTTATTTCACTTTTAATCATTGCTGTCTAAGAAATCTCAGAAAGTACGTATAACAGTCACTACTTCTGGGAAGTGCTTGCCAGGTTTCGAACCCTCGTTCACGAGAAGCTGGGACCATGTCTTTAAAGTGAAATGTATTACATCATAATCGCTATCGCTTCGCTTATTGCACTACCACGGCCCTTCTAGTCTTTAAATTCGCACCCCCACTCGATACAACGTTATGCAATTATAATGGTGTTATTCTGCACTCTTTAATTTTAAATATTTTTAATAAAATTGATTATTATTTCCTTTTACTTATTTAAATCGTAGTAATTCGAGATTCTTATTTGTTGCACAATAGAAAAATAATAGATCCTCTGTGAAACATATTTTTGACACAAATTAGAAATGGTGGATAACCTTTTATAATTCGAAACGAATAATACAAATAAGGGATCGTAAAACTGGTGTACTGTAAAAAAACCGTTATGGGCTTAAAATACAAAGTACGTGAAAAACCCATCGTTGAAAAAGCATTTATTGTGCCAAAGTACTATTTATTGGCACTAAAACGTTTGTCAGGTGGAATAATGTGCTGCTTCTGTATGAGAATTTATTTGGACCAAGATTTAACAACATCGTAGCTGCAAAAAATCACTAGTTAGTAAGTTGATAAATCCCAATTCTATATTTCATATACGATTTAGAATCGTATATCAATTGCAAATATCCGTATAAAAACTTTTATGTTCAGGACATAATAGTAACCAACTCATTTTTCTCTCACTCACCAGTTTCAATTTTCTTTTAGGTAATTCGTTTATTATTTCACAAGTTGCTGACTAGCAAAATCAAAAATACTATTTATTTTAAATAGTAAATAGGTACTGATGATTTTAGTATAAGTATCAGCGCATTAAGATCAACGAAACAGTAGCAAGGTACGACAAATATCGTAAGTATAATTTTGTTGCAGAATAGCGCACATCACAGTGACACTACGACGCAGCGTTTGCGCAGTATTCAACACGCGTGCGTCAAGA